GTAGTCCGACCCACAGACCACTAAATAGAATGTCCGGCCGACGATGGCTTAAGTCTGATCACAGCAAAATAAATATTTATTTATTTTATCTATGCTGTGGTCTGATCTGCTATCAAGTTTAGGGATAGAGCACAATATACTTTAATCGTACAGTGAGCTAGAGCTAAAATTTTCACTCGGTCTCGGTAAAATAAGCGACATGCGGTTTTTGACATAAATAATAGGTTATCAGGTTAAACCGAAGTCGGGAAATAACCGGTTTTTGACCGGTTAAGCGACACACAATAATCGGTTATTCATTTAACCGGTTATTTTTGCCCATCCCTAGTTACTTTTCCTAAATCTTGTGCACTTGAACAGAAAACTGCGTACGGTACCAGAAACATAACCACACTCCGCAGAATGCTTTTAAGAATCTATTAACACATGAATTGTGATTATTGAGATTTTCCACAAAATTCTCGACAGGACAGAGCAACTACATTTTGGTGGGTGGTCATGTTTCCTATGTTCTTTCGTGGCGAAAAATTAAAGGAATCCTTCTATTTCAACATTTCTATAGTTCGGATACGATTCCCTGTCCTACTATAAACTACTTTCTGCATATATATTTTTCATCTTTCTATTGTTATTGGTAGCCTTGAAGGAGATTTTAAATAAAATCGAAACCATTATTTCCTTGCCTAAAAATTGATATTTCTTTACTGATTGTCGTCATTCGTAGGATTACCCACTAAACCGATTACAAATGACGACAAGGACCACATCCTGTTCTGTCTGAGGGTCCTCTCCGACCGTTCCCCGGCCATCGTCGAGGTATTCACCGACCTCTGCAGGAGGGCCCTCAACGACATGCTGGTCGCCAAGGAGGCGGAGGAGGCGTCGACTCAGAAAGCCAAGGAGAAGTCCGGCAACACCATCCAAACGGACGATCCTATCAGTTTCTTGCAGTTGGAGAGCGACAGAAGCGGGGAACTGGGCGAGAACGTGTTCGAGAGCTCCCTGTCGCAGGCCCTTGTCGGGGGGAGAGGCACCGGCTCGGACGGCCTCGGCGGCATGAACAAGCTCAACAAGATCACGCAGCTGACGGGCTTCTCGGATCCCGTGTACGCAGAGGCATACGTGCATGTCAACCAGTACGACATCGTGCTGGACGTGCTGATTGTCAATCAGACAACGGACACGTTGCAGAACTGCACCCTGGAACTGGCGACTTTGGGCGACCTGAAGCTGGTGGAGAAGCCCCAGCCCGTGGTTTTGGCTCCCAAGGACTTCTGCAACATTAAGGCCAACGTGAAGGTGGCGTCGACGGAGAACGGCATCATCTTTGGCAACATCGTGTACGACGTGACCGGGGCTGCTTCCGATAGGAACGTCGTCGTCCTCAACGACATCCACATCGACATAATGGACTACATCGTGCCGGCGTCATGCAGCGACTCCGAGTTCATGAGGATGTGGGCGGAATTCGAGTGGGAGAATAAGGTGACGGTCAATACGCCACTGACTGACCTGTCCGAGTATCTGAAGCACCTGCTGAGGAGTACCAACATGAAGTGCCTCACGCCGGAGAAGGCGCTCAGCGGCCAGTGCGGCTTCATGGCCGCCAACATGTATGCCAAGTCTATCTTTGGCGAGGACGCGCTGGCCAATCTGAGCATCGAGAAGCCGTTCAATAAGCCGGATGCGCCCGTCGCCGGTCACATCAGGATCAGGGCCAAGAGTCAGGTGGGTTAAGCGTTTCTTGTGGCGTATCTACGGTCTCTATGACCGTACCCTCTCGTTACTTGTCATGCGACCTGTAATCATTTATAAAGGCTCTGCGTAATTTTTTTAACAAATAATCATTGTCGGTGGTCTGCCGCTAAATCTTCCAGATACAATTGTTTTTCAGAGCACACTTTCCAATTTAAAATTATTTTTAATTTCCAGTTGAACAAAATATATCGACAAAGTTTCTGATATGAATGTGTCAAAATTTGCCCGTTTCATGCATGTAGACAAGTTTTTTCAACTTGCGTTTTTTTTTTTAGGGAATGGCTTTGAGTTTGGGCGACAAAATCAACATGACCCAAAAAGGTACTCAAAATAAAATGGTGGCGGCGGCCTAGTGCACAAAATGCCCGCCTAATAACAAACATACATATTTTAATCCACAGCTTGCTACTATCCCTCTAATAAAATAAACCTCTCGTTCTATTTAAACTTTTATTTCAACCTTACAACCTAACATATAAATGAAACGCCAGCATATGATTTTCTGTGTGACTATACGCGTGTTACAACTTTATTATACAATAATTATAAATAAAATATTGTGTGTGTATTTTGGAAACAAAATTAAAAGTAACATAAAAGGTATAAATAAATATCTAATAAGAAAGTTATTTTCGTCTCTAGTATGCGAGAGAATTTGATGATGTTATTCTTATGTTATTCATTGCACAGGACCTGTAAAAAGACGCACAAGTGTTAGCTCGTACTCGTCTCGGCATGGAGAGGAATGCAAAAATACCTATTTAATTTTTATATTATCATCGGCATTTACTCTTCTTCCTCCTCCTCGTCCTCTTCCTCCTCTTCCTCTACCTCGACTTCTTCCTCCTCTTCCTCTTCTTCTGGTTCCGGTTCGAACACGGGCTCCTTAAGGTCCTCGTCTTCGTCGGCGGCCTGTTTACCCTCTTCCTCTCCGTCGGGAGTCTCTGGTTCTCCGGCTTTCTTGCCAGGCCTTTCACCAAACCATTTTGGCAATTTCGCTGACATAAGACGCAATCGTATAAAAAAATGAAAATTTTCTAATAACTTTCCCATACAGAGAGATCTAGGATGACCGAATGTAGATAAAAGTCATTATTACTTTCAATTATAAGAAATACTCTTTGAACCGTTCTCCGGATCTCTCTGTTAGTTCATTCAGTGCAAAACGCCCTGAATGTTTATTTAAAATCCTCCAAGCAGAATGCAAAAATGTCTATTGAATTTCTTTTACCCGAGTGGATTCTCAAATAAGTAAAGTTAACGCATGCATCCAATGACTTGAATCGGAGTTACAAAAAAAAAAAAAAAAAGTATGATTGTAAATATAAATTTTAATTATTTAACCCACGATACACCTCAAATCGTTTTTCTTGAAAATAAGTGAAAAGGTTGGGGCATGCGCCGCTAACAATCCTTAAGAACTCTTATTATGAGATTACAATCATAACTACTTGGTGGTATTGAACGTAAGCCAAATATAAGCCCACAGATTGATCATCTATGCCTTTAAGTTGCATCTATTTTCCAAAATGTGACGCTGAAGGCTCACTTCCGAATTCGATGTTCCGAAATTTATACAAGTATCTATCCATTTCAAAATATCTGTAACGTCAGAAAAGTAAGAAGTTTTACATTTCATTTACATCTCCGTATAGTGAGAGAAAATGATTGTAATTACATTAGCAACTCTGAACTTTATATCTTCATTGGTTTTATTAGCTGCGCTATCGCTTAGTTAAGCTGAGTTAATCATAGAAAATACCTAATCAACTCGCCTAAAGATGATTTGATGATACCTTTTCGTCAAATAAAAGAACACGATGTTTATTTCTATTTTCTATCAAATTAGTGAGAACCACTTGAGAATTCACTCGGATAATCTGAATAGTTTACTGTTGCGGATAATAAAACAAAGCATATTAGTAAAAAAGAAAATTGGCAACATGTCACACACGGATAAACCGTTCAGCTCAACATAACTTTAAATAGGCGTTATTAGAAAAGGATCTTTGAATTCAACGTTAGTAAATTTACCCTTTTGTCTGGAATCGAATTGTCCAAATTTCTCTTTCCAGGATTTTTCGCTGAGGTCTTTGATTATTTCTTCATATCCCTGTTAAACAACAAGAACACTCAAAGAGGGACGACACCAAACTGCCATAAAGTAATATACAACATAAACCGTACAGACGTTCATATTATACTGTACTTGGGGTGGAGGGAAGAAAAGATTAAAAAATAGCAAAAAAAAAAACAAACAGTAAAATGTGTTTCAGATATCATTCTACAATGACGATGAAAACTACAAAACAATAAGGTAACAATTTGAGCACATATCTGACATGCCCACATACCACGGGGTCTATTCATAAATTCCTCAATTTTTCGTTTCCAGATCTTTTCGGCATTTTCCAATAAAACCATATCAAATCCCTAACAAGGTCAACTTTTAGAATAAAAACGAATTATGAGATGTTATATATGTTTGCATCTGTAAAGGTGTGTAATTGGAGGAAAGGGCCAAAAGTGGAAATTTTTTACAATTAAGTATTTCGTTACCGCAGATGTCCAGGTGGCGCGGCGGTGAAACTACTGCAACCATAATTTGTTTGGTTACTTACAAGAAATTGTAGTTACGAAATTCCGATACTTCTTTTTAGAGCTAATTCAGTGTAGGTGCTTAGAAAAAACAACAATCGAAGGTTGCATTTTAGATATAAACCAAACTTTTTTTTAATGAAATACTGTATATACATAGGTACATATTTTTTTAATTTTTAGTATTTCTAAGACATTTGAAATACATAAGAAGTACTTTATTTGAAATTTCTATTTCTTTTCCTTGTTTCAGAAATGCCCAATGAAATAAAAAAATAATAACGATGATAAAAATAAATAGAATATTCTTAATATATCGCTTTCGTAGCCACCCGGTATATCTGTCGCTGTCGCACAATATAAAAACTAACAAATATTTATTTATTTCAACTTTCAGTTTATTTAGTTTTATAAGCTGCCACTAGTCGGTATAATAATTTTTCAAGATGCGAAATTGTAGTGTGCTTTGCATATTATATTATGAAAGACTTTTGTGATGGTTAAGTTGATGTTTGTTGTTGTGAACTGTCAAATTTTCGTACAATATTCGCCAGAAGAAAGGGCCCTAGCCGGCGGGGCCCAGCCAGGACAAAAGGAGGTCCCACAAAGCGCCTACACCGGCCGCATTTGCGGTCGGGGTAGACGACGGATGGGGCCCACCTACGAAGGCTGTCCAGGCCTACACGAGATGAGGCAGGATAAAGAGGGATAATCCCCCTCGATCCCAAATCATTGAGGCCAATTTCTAGCCATA